TTTTTTTTTTTTTTAAAAAAAAATTCATTAACATGTCAAGCTGCAATAATTTAATTTCCAATAATTTAATCACCACTTTCGTTTATTCAATTAAACGGTCTAAAGGGGAATGCTTGAAGACAATGTAAGTAGAAATATAATAATTTATAATTTAAGTATAATTTTAATTAAGAATGAATAACAGGAAATAGTAACACTCTCACTACACAAATTTATTTTATAAATAATCACAGCTCAAAATTTATTTTATTTAGGAGGAGTATATAAAGATGTAACACTACTCAAGTTAATTTTATAAATAATCGCATTGCTCACATTTATTTTACGAGTATATAAAGATACGACACTACACAAATTTATTTTATAAATAATCACACTACTCAAAATTCTATATCTATACTATTATAAAAGAGCTAATGAATCTGTAAAAATATGTTTTACCTATCACAAATGACATGATTCCCGAAAAGCTTATGCTGGACTTTACAATTGAATGGTCATAGGCTATGGGGTAATGGGAACCAATTAAAAATCTGGGCCCAATTGACAGTGCTCGGTGAGCTTTCAAATTACCATTGAACATATCTTAGTGAACATAAATACATAATCAGAAATTGGAAAAAAGCGCATGTATATTTGGTACCTTTTTTTGTAGGCAAAAATTCAAAATTGGTCCTATAATTTAGCCATTGTCCAAAAAACCACCCCTATATTGACCACTTTCAATTTAGATCCTATAGTTTGTCGATTTCATCAATTTTGGTCCTTTTTTATCCGTACCCTGGATTAAAAAGTGACGTGGCATGAAAAAAGGACCAAAATTGATGAAATCGACAAATTATAGGACCAAAATTGACGTGCCACGTAGATCATAATCACACCATGTAACCTTAAAAAAATGACACGTCATGCCACATCACTTTTTAATCCAGGGTCCGGATAAAAAGGACCAAAATTGATGAAATTGACAAATTATATGACCTAAATTGAAAGTGGTCAATATAGGGGTGGTTTTTTGGACAGTGGCCAAGTTATAGGACCAATTTTGAAATTTTGCCTTTTTTTGTAATATATTTGCACTTGATAATTTAATATCAATAACATATAATTGCATTAAAATAAATTTCTAAATATTATATAAAACAAGTAAAATTCAAAGGGAAGTACTACCCTCAATTGTACAACATACAATAGTAAATATAAAATATTATAATATAAATTTGTTACAGTTCTAAATGTATGTTCTTTTCATATTATTAATTACATAACTACATGTCATAATAAACAAAGTTGATATAACATAATTATATAATCTTTACATTAAAATAAATTTCTAAATATTATATAAAACAAGTAAAATTCAAAAGGAAGTACTACCCTCAATTGTACAACATACAATATTAAATATAAAATATTATAATATAAATTTGTTACAGTTCTAAATGTATGTTCTTTTCATATTATTAATTACATAACTACATGTCATAATAAACAAAGTTGATATAACATAATTATATAATCTTTACATGAAACAAATAACACGGTATATAAAACTACTCAAATTCCTTTTTCGGAAAAACGTGGTATCAAGTAGGACGGATGAGAAAAAAAATTTAACATGAAAAAAAAAATGAATTTTGCACATGAATTTTTGAACATAATAGCAAATATTGAAATATAAAAAGCATATTATTATTTACTTCTATTTTTAATTTATATTTAGATAAATTTCTAGGACTAAAATATTTGAGCATGCTAATAAATTGACTAGAGAAAATAATAATTCTAATATCAAATTTTATTTTATTATACTATGAATCTTTAAATCATGTACTAAATAATTAAGTTAAAAAATGTCTTTCATAAAGTAAAGTTTAACAACTATTTTCAATAATATTATTTTATCGAAAAAGTAACAAAAACTTATAAACCGAGAAATAATAATAAAATCTACTCTATAATCGAATAATGAATAACATGTAAAAAAATTAAATACGAAGACATATTGTCAAATAGATGAATATTGATAGTTTGAGTTATCTTTTATATGTGATATATTTATAACAGTAAAACTATAATAATAATGTTTAGTAAAAGAGATTATAATATAATTTATGGTAAAAGTATAATTATGCACAATAATAAATAAAATTTAGTTGACTAAAAGTTGAACGTAATTGCTAAATAAATTATAAAATATGTCAACTTGAATAGTGATCATAATCACATTTGATACGTGTTTCTATCATGATGAACTATATACAATATAGTGATATATTTATAGAGTTAGTAAAAAATAAATAACACATAAATATCTTTTATTCCATTAAATATAATTTCAAATACACAAATGTTTTTTTGATTGTCAATATCATAAACAAATTCTTTTTATTTATTTTTATTACCCATGAAAAATATACATGACCATGCTGTAAATTGAACATTGAGATTTATGATGTACAAAAATACAATATAAATAAAATATAAAATGGTAAAAGTTGCTTTATAATCGAATAATGATTAACATGTAAAAAATTAAATACGAAGAAATATTGTCAATTAGATGTTCTAAGAAATATTGTCAATTAGATGAACATTGATTGCTTGAGATATCTTTTATATTTGATATATTTATAATAGTAAAACTATAATAACAATGCTTAGTAAAAGAAATAAAAAGTATAATTTATTGTAAAATTGTAAGTATGCATGATAACAAATGAAATTTAGTTGACTAAAAGTTGAACGTAACTGTCAAATAAATTAAAAAATATGTCAACTTTTAATAGAGATCATTGTCACATTTGATATATGTTTCTATCATGATAAACTATATAAAATATAGTGATATATTTTATAAATTTAATATAATACGTTTTATAATATAAAATAAATAAAACATAAATATCTTATATTCTATGAAATATTATTTCAAATACACAAATGAGTTTTGATTGTTAATATCTATCATAAACTAATTCTTTTTATTTTTTTATTTTTTGAGCCAAATATTCAAAACAATAAAATCATTTGTATCCATATACTATACATAAATGGTATATAAACAATGACATAGTTGTTTTTGACAATAAAAAAAATAGTAATAAATTGAGTATAAATTGCATACATTATCCGACTAATTAATACATCCTCCATTAGCTTCATAATTTTATGAATGGAGACTGTAACAAATATTTTAGTTTTTAATCAAGTATTTTGAAAATTGAACAATGATCTGGGTTGACTATTATCATTTCTTTTGGAGGCTTCATAAAAATCAATAGAAAATAACATTATATGTTAGTTATTGATAGTTAAATTTTATTCATTTGTTGCTTTTGGAAAAGAGAATTGTTGTTTCAGTTCAAATCTATGTTTTTGAAGATCTTTTTGTGTTTGAAAAAAAATATTTATTCTTCAAAAGTGGTCATTTTTGGTTGTTGGTGGTGTAAGAAACAATTCTCATTTTTACTTAAGACAATTTATAAGTAATTTAAATTTTTCTACTTATCTATTTATTAAAAAAATAATAATAAAATAATTATGATGTTATTTTATAAATATATTAATTATAATAAATACATATTAAATAAAAGATCGATTATACATAATAAAAAAATTATAATAAAAAAGTATATTTTTAACCAAAAAATGTGGTTTGTGTGTGAAACTAATTAAGGTTGTGTAATAATGTAAAAATGTGTTAAAAAAATTACTATATATACCCTAACATGTGTTTTAAATTTTAATAAATTTTCATATTAATAATCAAATACAACATACAAAAAAAATTAAATATATCAATGAAGTAGGCAGACCTAACGACTGAAACATTCTTATATTCTCAATAGGTATACTACACTCAATTGAATAGTCATACTTTAAAAATAAAAAAAAAAGATATTTTATTGTATTCGTATATATTTTTATTAAAAAAGTAGGATGGATCAATCCGTCTAATAGCTATTTCGTCTCATACAAGAAATTTTGTGAATTAATATTTCAACTTAATAAGTATTTAATCAATGGATTTTATAATAAATTATCAATTAAATGAAATTACATCTAACATATGATATAAAAATACAAATTGAATGAAAAAAAAAATATTTAGTAACACATATTAGACGAAATTTTGACCAAGTTTAGACGTCTATATATGTTTGTATATATGTTTAATTTGACAAAGTTTAAATATTACGGTTCATCTACATCACGCACTGGAGGGAATTTTAAACAAGTTATTCAATCGCAATATTAAATGTGACGTAAAAACGAAATTATAGCTCATTATACATAATATGAAACTTTTAATTTAAATCAATTTATTTATTAAGTAAAAATAAAATATAATTTACCAAAATAATAATTTTGATGTTCTTGAAATATTTTTACGATTATTGAAATTTAAATGAGATTGTGTACCATATGTTTGTAGTGGTTCATGAAAAATAAAATAGTATTTGAATGAAAAAAAAAACTAAAATTCGTGACGACAATATAAATAATATTTAAAAGAAAATTATGTCACATAAAAATTACTATAATATCCTTGTAAAAGATTCAATTTAGTTTTATTGTGAAATTTTTTAATCTTCTCCAAAAAAAAAAAAAAATCAAATAAACTAAACTAAATTAGTTAATGAAAGTTTGTTAATTAAATTTTTTATGCAATTTTTTCCACAATGACTTTTAAACTATTATTTTCAGAATTGTATTTGAACTTTCAATATATTTGATACAAGTATGTGACTATTTTTTTATTTGATTAATTGAAAATAATAATGGAAAATATTGAATAGACCATAAAAATAGAAAAGAAAAATATAATTTAAAATCACATTAAAATATAAATTATGTATCACGTGCATTCGCACGTGCTCTTTACTAGTATACTAAAAAATGCGCAGGCACGCCAAAGGGCGGGTGGGTTCCAACTTCCAACCCGGTCTTCATTTTTTTGATTTTTCGAAATTTATGTTAGTAAAAAGTATTTTAGCCAATGTTAGGTTATATTAGCCCGTTATTTTGATCCAAAACAATTTTATTTTATTTTTTAAATTAGATTAGTAAATTATTTGCTTGAACATGATTTGAGTCTCTTTCGACTTTTCTTTTTATTTTATTACGACATTTTCATCTTCTTTTAATTTGAGTTTATTTTCATTATCTGGTTAAATATAATTCATTTGTATAATTTTATTTGAGATAATATTGTGCTAGACTTCCATACAAATGTAACTATGATATGAAATTTACTTGTAAATCTCATTCATTGCTGATGAGATTATAAATCTTAAATGACAGGTCATCTTTCAATTTAGCTTATGCGACAGGATTATTGGACTTCTAATTACGTTAATTTTAAAAAATCATGTTGCTTTTTTAATTAAAATTTAAGTACATGAGAAAAATCATGTTGCTTTTTTAATTAAAATTTAAGTACATGAGAAAAATTACCGTTATACTCTCTAAACAAGAAAATAATAATAGATCATTAGTATAGGAAAGTTTCTCATTTAACATTTAAACTTATATTTTGGTTGGTAGCAGATGATGGATCGTCAGAGGAGCAGCTTGTAATTAAAGATTTGGCATGTATAGGAGGCGGTTTTTATTTAAATTTATCAAGAAAATTTTATGTTATATTGATTAAATTAATTTTTCATACTATTAATTCTAAAAATGCTATCATACGACAAGCTTAAGAGATATTAGAAATGAATTTGCATATATATAAATTTGAGAGATGAAGTTTACCGACCTAATTTCATCACAACCTCAATTTATTATATTATCTCTAAGACTATTAGAACTTTCCAAAAATTCTAAAATTGTGTAGTAAACTTGGTGGAAAGAGATAGAAAAAAGCCAACGTACAAGAAACTCTGAAAAACAAAAGAAGTATATTTGCATGGGTATCATCCAAGTATATGTTGATTTTTATATAATTTATCAAGTAGTTAATTGTAAAAATATTTTCTTGTATTTATGAATTTTCCAACTAATTAATGGTTTTTATTACTTGTTTGGAACAGTTCCGTGTGCACACATGCACTCACTATCAGAGCCGGTCCTGGAAATTATGAGGCCCTGGGCCAATATAAAAATAATACCCAAGTACTTTGTATTTTTATTTTAAGAAATATAATATTACATATTTTAATTAATACCAACAATGATCTTATATTCTTTTTATAATGAAAATAAAATTATAATTTATAAAATATTACAACATAACTTAACCAAAATTACCACAACTAATCTAAATTTTACGGTCTTACTCTTACCACACAGAATTATAACCAAACAAACAAAATCACTAAACAAGTACTCAATCATTCTTAAACAATATAAGCAAACAAATAAATCTTACTCAAGTATTTTTAAACAATATAAGCAAACAAATAAATCACTAAATCAAATGGCCTTTTCAATCTTTTTCAATTCTTTTAAAATCACTATATCGTACTCAAAAGAATCACTAAGCTTTAAAATCTAAAGAAACAGTCAAACAACTAATTCACAAAGAATGTTAACAAAAAGAAACAACCAATTAATTAACCACTCAAACTATTTAACGGAAGGCGCCGACAGACATTAGGCCCGATTGTGGCAGAAGGCAAGCTATAGCAAATCGTCGGTGGAACCTTTCCTTTTTAGCGCCGACGAGGTAATCGGCTAGCAGATTGCAGATTTTTTCATCGACGACACGAATTCCGGAAGTATGCTAAATTGCTGATGACGGCTCTCTAGCTCAAGCCTCAAGGGATTTCAATTGAACAATTTTTCACAAAATAAAGTAAAGAGTCAATTGAAATCTATACTTATATTATAAGCAAACCTATTTACTACAATTAGTAGCAAAAAAATAAGTCAGCATTTAATGCAACCATAAATAGTAGTTTTATTATTTTTCTTATTTTTCTTTACAAATCATGCAATATAATGCATAAATATGTATTAATATAATCATAAAATTTAATCATACAATTTATTTATTTTTCTTTAAAAATACGCTTATGTATATTTTTTGTAATAAAATTGAAATAAACTGTGTTAGTTAAATATCTAATAATTTAAAAATTTAAATATTTAAATTAATTGATAAACGATTTATAAATTTCTATTTTATTAACGTGTGTAATTTTATTTAAAATGATTTAAATATACCAAAATATATTTCAAAAATTGTATCGATCCTACCAGTTCAACCGGCTGGTGTTGACGAATTCAATAGGAAATATTTTATTCAAGTGAACTAGACTGATTATAAACTGGTTCTCGGTCCATCCAGTCGGGCTGTGTCCAACACGGTTTAATTTAAAAACAATAGGTAAATCTTGATTAGTTTATTTGTATATTTAATTTATAACACAATCGTAATATTATTTTTCCGTGCATCGCACGGGCCACGCACTAGTTTGAAGGTAAATATGAAAAACAAATACTATTGAAAAGGTCCATTATAATCTATAAAATTAACTGTTCGAATTTTCGAAATAAGTGGAAACCTTGAAGCAAGAAGTATTAGAAGCTGGATCGCTGGTGTTTGGGAAGAGGAATTCTCAAGATTTGAGGCCTTTTTTTTTTGGAGATTTGGAGGAAAACAAATCGGCCATAGGTGTAGGCGTGCAACACGGTGAATTAAAGACTAATTAATTAAAGAGTAAAAACAGAGTCAGAGAGATTAGATGCAGTATTTAAGTACATAACTATATATACAATATATATATATATATATTACATATATAATTTAGTGGGCCTGGCACTTGGTGCCCCTATTTTCAGTTGGGCCCTGGGCCGTAGCCCAGGCTGCCCTGGGCCAGGGCCGGCCCTGCTCACTATCCACGTAACACATTACATGCACCCTACACACACACACAAAAAAAAAGGTATCCAATAGCCTTTCATGTCCAATTTTTCAAGACCAAGTCGTGCTCCGCCGACGGGTGGGCCCACAAGGATGAAGTAGTCGTTTTTCCGATCGCCAAAAACTACAGTTTCGGACTCACGAGCTGGATTTTCTTTAGCGCCGAGGATGCTCGGGAGGTGGGAAGCTTTTTGGGCCCTTCAACCATTACAGCTTCATAAGAACAACTGAATATTGTGTCTATAACCACTAAATTCATGATTATATATATACACGTACTAATGAAATGTCGACGTTGCAAAAAGACGTGCCAATAGACGTGTTTCTATAGATCTATTGACACACTTAAGTCGCTGCTATAAATGTAAAAGTAATAGGAATTAGTTTTGTCGTGCCTATTTTTTGTCCAGTGACACCGTACGTGTTTATTAGTTAAAATGTTGTGCCAATAATATTATTGCATCTATTAGTTAGTTGAAATAACTATATGAACAATCAAATTGAATGTAGCATGACCTTTTGATATATAAATAATATCCTTGATTAAAGTCAAAGAAATTGTGAATGGGACAAGAAATGGGGTAAAAGGTTATGCTTGAATAACACGCATAAATTATTTGCTCGCGAGCGAAATTTATTTATATTATATATGTTGGAATTATTAGATTAATTTATTACCACGAGTATCGTTAGTAACTTATTTTTTTTTTTTAATAAAATGCTTTTTTGTGTGGTAAAAGGGGCTCCAAATTTGGATATTCACATCATAAATAATTAAGTATTCATGTCACATACAGTACTTCCCGCTGATTCTAATTGAACACACACACACACACACACACACACACAGAACACAAACTTGCACAAACAAATTTTGCTCGAAAATGGAATGTACATAGTACAAAATGTCAGCCGCCGTGTGAGGTTTCTATAACGAGAAACTAACAGATGCGCAGACGATACGCAGAAAGAAAACGAAAAAAGAGCACAAGAATCTTCCCCCAAAAAAAAAAATTGAACACGAAGCCCTCATAACGCACACAGCCGATGAGAGTAAGTTAAATAACAAAAGGCGGACAACTACAGTAACAACAGATTAAAAAAAAAAACAGACGATATACAGTGAAAACACATACTGTACCCTATGAATAAGATAGTAAAAGTTACGTATGTTGACGACAACCAAACATGCACTTGCCAAATGCAGGTAATTGCTCCAATAAACAGACTCGGCTCCAAGAGGCTTTTCCAGCAAAATAGTCGCAATAGCAGGAGCGAACATTGTGTACATTTACAACAGAAAGTGCTTTCACCTTTTGCACCACATCCAAAAGTGGAATGATAGTTTTTCAAGATGGGCTGACATAAAGAACCGGAACCAAGCCGGCCATTTTCCCGTCCCTCCCAGGGCGTTTCTTTTTTACCTGCAAGCAGTTTAACACGTTAGATTTGGGCAGCAAAAGAATATGGCAAAATGGAACCAATGGAATAGAGCCGTTTGTATCTAGGACTTTTTTTTTTTCTTTTGAAAAAAAAAAGGTAGAGAAAAATAAAACATATGCTGTATAAATGTTGGCTCAAATCCTAACATTAACCTAGTAAATGAAGGCGGCATTATATTTTCTGCATACAGAATAGCAGCTAATAGAGAAAATATGCTCTCAACATTTTATGTATTATTTCCTTCATCACAAAAGGATGTCAAAAAATTCTAGTTTGATAAAAAGTGGTGTTATGTGCAGAGGTTGATGATTTTAAAGATGATGTGGTGTGATGAAAAGGATTGTGACACGAGTAGATTATATCATAATGTGTCAACCTTTTTGTTTGTGTAGAACGATCTCAAATTAATATTTTTCGGGTCTCCAAAATGATAAACTTGTTTGTGCAGTACAACATTTTATTAGACTAGCAGCCAGAAACCGAGTATCAATACCGAAACATGTAATTAGTCACAGGGGCATGAGTGGAAAAAGAAGTATCTGAAGTATCTGAACTATAGGTCTCTTTGCATGGTGAAGGAAGGTTAATTATCCAGAAAATACAACAACTTGCATTATACTTACATAATACCAGCCATCTACTTCATCCTCAATCTCAAGCTCCTCACCAGCCGTAAGATTAAGCTGTCCACAAAATAAAAGGGATTAAGCCTAATTCACACGTAAAAACCAAAACAAAGTAACAAATATGGCCAAGAGAGTGCAGTGCAGTGCAGATAACCAGACAGGACATTCCACCCTTTTGTCTGTAAAAAATTCATATTTAATTTGAGCATAACTGGTCAATGGCCAGGTCAATATGCAACTCACCTCATCATCACCACCGGCAGTGAAGTCATAAAGAGCCGTCCCGGACTGCCGGGCACCAGAAGAAGGCCTTCCTTCATCAAAGCTGTTGGAACCGGGGCCCGCCAAGGGATTCTCAAACGACCCGTATCTTTGATGATCAGGAGATGAATAAGGAGGAGGTTCTTCTCTTATCTGCAAAAATGTCGTACGTTAGAGAAGACTCAATTCTGGAGTTGAAATTGGCATAAAAATAGGGTATCCAGAGTATCAACTGGGGAACCAGGGGCCTCATATGCGCTGTATCTGCTTCCACCAGCTCTTTCCTGCAAAAGCAACTCAAAAGTTTCAATGCTGTGCAAAGCATGTTTATCGAGCCTTTTTTCGAAAGCATATTTATTCCCGTGTGAGACTCTTTGACATTAGTATCCTCTTGAAAAGAAAAAGGTGAAGATACCCTTTTTTTCATACACCAATCAGTTCAACTCGTTTCTAGGGAAAAAAAAATAGTCTTTAATACACATTTTCTCTATAAATTTCGCTATTCAACACTCAAATAACTCAATATATCTATCATTTCAATCATTATTGTAGTAATTTTACAGCAAATCAATTTTGATTACATTTTCAGCTCACATCCATCCACTTCAAATAGTTCATTCTTTTCAAATCAATTGAACACTATCTAGCCAAAACAAATTTTTCAAAACAAAGACTTTATCCAAGCAGAATGCTGATTTATTTTCCATGCAGAAAACATGGGAGTAAGTAACTCGGAAACTAAGAATTAGGAATACGTTTTTCCCACAAGGGTATTAATGCTGTAGGTATTGGAAGGCCCTTAAAGGTAAACTTATTGCAGTTCATCAAAGCAATACAAAATTTTAGAATATAATATAGTATGCATGTATCTCTCACAAAAGTGCTGATTTTTCATGCATGCCTAAATTTAAAACTATCCATCACTATTTGCAGCTTCATGTCACTTTTGAGGTAGATGTATGAGAAGTCTTTAGCAAACACGATAACAATAATTAGCTCACAACTTAAAAGTGTTTTATGAAATAACCAATTGTTAAAACCAATGCTATCACAAAAGTCAATCCCTACATGAACTAGCACAAGATTTTTGTATAGAATTCCAATACAGGTATTATCGAAAGGAATTAATAATAATTATCCATACCTTGGGCTGTGAAGAACCATAAGTGGACGGTTTTGAACTGAACAATGACGGATAGTTCATTCCTCCAAAGTGTGAGGATATGGATGTCTCAACGGATCCGACTGAGTCAGGAGATGAGGACCCAGATGATCTAGCATCATATTCCTGCAGAAACAGATAGATTTTTAAACAAGAGATTTGACCACCCGCAAGAGAATTTTAGGGATTAATATATCTAAATAATCAGAATTTCTTACCTCCATTTCTGTAGTTTCCAAGAGAGTCTTAGCCCACATATCATCATAACTAGAAGGTCTGGAAGTAACATTCTCTTCCTCAACATCAGGGGCATCAGTACCAGCACCCGCAAGAAATTCATTAACCTGGTTTCACATCTTTGCAGTGTTATATTTGGATAACATTCCAAAAAAGAACTCATGAACCAAATTCACCGAATATAGGCAAATACAAATCACTGGCTAGGTAAAATAACTAGTTGGTCAGCCTTAAGTAACCATATCAGTCAAAAGATGCAGCTGATATCTGGTGATGAAACAAAGATCTTGACTTGAAATATATTCTTAAATTTAAGAACAAAATAGAAATTAAGAAGAATGGTTCATTTTTACCCTATTCACTGCAGGTGCACCATCATCACCAAGACTTGAAGCCCAAAAATTAACTAGGTCATCATCAAGTGCATCTGGCTCGGGTGACTTTGACTTGGTAGTTTCAAAGATCAGATCAGTGACCTTAGGCTTGGAAGTTTCATAGAGAAGGTCAGAGATCCCAGTGGCAACAGCAGGATCACTGAGGCCTGCTGATGCACTTATATTGTGCCGAGTGCGATAGATGTCAATGAGCTTTGCACTGTAGCAATCATAAAATCAAAAGAAATAATGAGATTGATTTCTGAACTCTGCCGATGAAAATAAAAACCACCGGGTAACCAGAAAACTGGAATTTGCTTATTTTATTCACATAAAATAAACACCACAGATTCACCATGTGCTGGAATTCGTTTGCCTTCACTCTCTATGTCACCAGTTACTACAGAAGTTCCTTACAATAAATGCATTGTGCCATTTTTCTTAATTTTAATTGCGTCAAATATATAAGACTGGTCTATCAGGTGAAGTTCAAGGTAATCAAATAAAAGCAAGAGAAAGAAGAGAAGTAAGTACCTCGTTGGCCCTAAAGGAAGATATTTTGCCCTTGGAACATAACAAAAGAGCGACACAAGATTTAACAACCTCTCATGAGTCTCATACAGCTTCTTAAGTTCCTCATCTGTCCATTCTTTTTTGGCATTGTCGTGATTGCGCATCTCCCTGGCATCAAAAACAAAAATAAGTTGCAGAAACAAATATTCAGCAGCATATAACAGTAAAAAGGGGCATCAAAATACTCTCCTTACTTTATAAGTTCATCTTGTGCACTATACATTTCATCAAGGACTTTCAGCATAGGACTTATTAACGAGCCAAGGCCCGTGCCACTAGCTCCCTGATCTTCACCGTTACTAGTATGCATATCTGAAAACTGAGACTGTACACCTCCTTGGGCTAAAGTATGCAAAAACTCGTAGATCTGTAGCCTATAAGGTTCACCAGATCTTATTGCCATTGTAGTAAGAGCTTGAGCAGCAACAATGCGGATCTGAGACAAAGGAAACGAAAGAAGAAAGGAAAACAAAAAAAGTAAAAACACCAATGAAAAGGAAACATGAATCAGCAATCAAAAGAATAATACTTAAAGCTCAGCCATCATTGGTGTTAGAGGATTGACAAATCAGATGCACCAATTAACCTTCACAAATCATTAGCATGTATGATGCATATAGCCACACAGAATCATATATGATTGCATTAAAACAGGAGTACTGAGCAAAACTATCCGTCTAGGTTGTCCACAAATCGGACAAGGCAATATTAACTCTAGTAACCAATCAAACTAGGAAATGTAAGCATGATTTACCATAATTTATAAATAATGTAAGCCAGTTGAAGAACACGAAGTACACCTCATTTCACATTGATAGATAACTGAGTCACTAAATTCAAGCTCCCCCTCAATCCTCATAACCCTAGATGGTATAAAATCAAGAGCATGGAGGGGTCCTCCTTTTATTGACAAATTGGAAGTCTTCACATTCTTTTTGAACGAATGAAAAAGGAAAATAGGATTTCATTTCAGAAATTTTATTTAATAAACTGATAATCTTCATGCAATAAAGTAAAATGGTTTGGGTGCTTTTTCAGTTCATTGTGGTTGGAAGAATGGAGGAAAGAAGGATAAGTAACTTCTCATCAATTTTTTATTTATTTATTTATTTTTTGGCCCAGCTTATCAAAATCCAAATTCAAAGAAGTGGCCAAAATGTTCTCATCTGTGTCACTGCCCACTGACCATTAATCTTTCGTTCATCCCACTAAATCCTTGTGCCGTGACTGCCTATCGACTTTAACTTCTAATAACCAGCGGTAAGATTATTCCATGAAGCATCTCATAACTCATATATCAGACTTACTGGGTCTAGTAGTTCAAAGTTCAAACAACAACTATTTCTCAACTTGAGCAATGATGTGGAAAAAAAGGCAAAGCAAGAAATACAAACCTCCCAGCTGCCGCTGAAAGCGCACCTCTGGAGTCGAGTCAGAGCACCAGCTAGAGTAGGATTACGAGAGCTGGCTGCAGCAACCATTTTATCAGCGTCCAACATCATTAACGCGGTACCAGGTGGTGTAGCTGATTCCCAGGCATATTCAGATGCAGCATAATTTGCATTTTCTCCAAGAAACCATACCTATATGTATTTAGAAACTATAAGGGCACAGATTGGAATGGTAACTAATGAATTTTCTAAAAGATAGTAATTCATGTTTTTTATGCTTACGGCGTACATATTTTAATCTATGCATGCAAAGTCATATTAAATGAGCATAATTACTTACTGCTGCTTGAACTAATCTCTGCAGAGCGAGAGCTGACTTCGGATCAGATGCAGACACCCGATCAATTGAGGTCAGTCCCAGGATTGAGCCAGGTTGAGGAGGGGGTAAATCAAGAACTATTGTGACAGCTTCTAGAGCTGTATGCTTTCCTTCAGGTCCCGCTCCAACCAAACAAGTCTAGTTAACATACAACTATTAGGCAAAGAAGTCAAAATAAAGATTAAAGTAAAGACTCAGAAAAAGCGCTCTTGGAACATACTTTCCAAAGAAGTTGCAGTACATCAGCATCGATCTTTCCTGGAACTTTAGTTGCAAATATTCTAGCAATTTCAAGAAGAGTTACTGCCATGTCTGGTGTAGCCTAATAAATAAACCAATGGAAAAGTATGTAAGACACGTGTGATATAATGAAGAAAATTCAGCTAAGTTAAGACTTAAGAATAACGAGAAAGCAAGTGTAAATTAAAGGTTTGACTCATTCTACCTAGAAAACAGCACCAAGAAATCTGTGTCCAAAAAGATTAGTTGAACATTGTTTACCACATGTGTACCTTAAAACGAGCATGCAATGTGAGCAACACATCATTCAGCAAAGTTGCTGGCCAAGAAGGATCTGAAAGCTCAGATGCAATGATGGATTCCAATTCATCGAATGATTCATGCGGACTTTGCATCCATATAAGCGCTTTGATCACCATCGCACGCACATAAACACATTCACATGCAACAGTTGTTCGCACAACCTCCATTAACGAAGCCAACAAACTGGCAATTGTGTCCTTTGAGGCCATCCCACTAGACATTGAGGGAACTCTACGAATACCTAGCAGCCAAATAGAAATTAAGAATAAGAATCCACTATATGGAAAAGGCAAGATCATAAAACATAATTATCTGACCATATCACAAGCTGCATAATGTGACTTTTGAAATGCACACTACTATTCAGTCAACAGGAATATAATAAATCATTTCAAAATCTGCGTGAAATGGAATAATGAATAACGAGGACCATTTGTCAGCAGGAAATGGAGTACGAATATCGAGGTCAGTTTGTCATCAAGTTCACCCTATTCATGAACAAAAAGGTACAAAACCACTTTAAAAGTTAAATTGCTCTGCTTAACTAACCGAACCTTATGGACTTAAACCACAATGAGCTGAGGACTTTAAAATGCTCTAATTCATCATGTTATCATGTGAGAGCAAAACCAGAAGTAGTCATTCTCACGGTTCTGTGAAAATGTAATGATATAATGATGCCTTCACTTCCAAATGATATATGGGCGGCACTTAATAATGGCACAAGCCATGTGTAAGTCATAACAGAATATGCCACTAGATATTATCTGAAACTGTAGAATGCACTTACAACAGACAATATAAACACCATCGTCAAGAAGCAAATTGTAAAGATAATTGAGCGTTTGATTTATTACTCCAAAGAAGAAAAGGAATCATACAAACACGCGTCGTGATTTAGTCACACATGCATTAGAATCATTTTATCCTATAATCATCAGTAAAATACATTTATGAAAAACTATGATGGAAATATAAACCAAGGAAGTTACAGTCAACACACTACCTTCAGATGGTGCAGTTGGATTTATATCTGCATCATACGAGTCACTGCTATCAGAAAAAGTATTAATTTCTGTTCCTTCATCAATATACTGCCCTAAGGCAAAGGAAGCAGCACGACTTTTTCCCATCTCCTGTACAACTCTCGCGGCTGCATGCAATATAGGCCGTGAAAAACTTCTGAAAGAACTTTCTAACCTGTACGGGAAAAAAAATGTTAAAATTATATCCAGAAATCATTCCAAAATACCCTTATGACATAAAAACAAGTTCAAAGCATGCTATCAATCAGTCTACACTAAAGCACACAGATCTAGGTAAGCTTATAAAAATAAAACAGGAAAATAACCTCCGCATGACTAGCTTGATCAGAGGCTGTGGACGCCTTGTCTTAGAAGACTTATCTTTCTTGGCCTTTGCCGGAACTGAATCTTTATCCTCAGAAGTCAAGTCCTTCAGAGAAGATGAATCAGGAAGTTTCAGAATTTCTCTACTCAGACGATACCATCCGGCAGCTCTTTCTTCAGTCCTGGATAAAGCAAGAGATAAGGTGTAATTCAAAGGTATAAGATGGAGAAAACAGCTTTTATCGTCTGTACTTCATCATCAGCAATGTAACAAACTGGAAGTGCAATGTTTACCTCTCTAAGTTATCAAATTTACCCAATACACAAAGTATAGCTTCAAAGCAAACTCTTTCACTGGGATCTAGGAGAAGCTGATAGAGGAGAGAATCAAACTGAGACTTGATATCTGGACGTTCTGTACTTGCAACAATTAGATGTCATTAGCATTCCAACTGACAATATTCATATGAGAAGTATGATATTCATCTACAACAAAGGGATGAAGCTGTGACTTAAAATTTCTCAAAATGTGTACCATCTAATGCTCTTGCTCTGGACACAGAATGGCACAATTTAGCAAGTGCAACTCTAGCGAGAACATCATTCAAATGGATCACATCCTGCAGGGCACCTGATTTACAGAAATTCCGATAAAGATATATGTAACAGGAGATCTAATCAATTAAAGAAAAATGACTAGAAAACCAAGGATATCAGTCATACCACCAGCTTGCACATGCTTTCCTGCAAACACCAGAAAGCATAGTGAGATTAATATTTTATATGCAAACAATCAATTGCATAATAGGATGTAATATTGCCAACATATTTCTCTGATGGCAGGACTGAGTCCTGACCACATAGCAATCAAACTGGAAAGTTTTGAGAAAGACATCTGGTCCTCAACAACATGGAAACTATGCCTAGAATTAAAAGCCATCCATAATTTTACTATTTAGTACTAAATGTAAATTTCCGTAAGTACGCATCATTATGGAAGTGCCTCCATCAATTTCAAGCATGGTAAAGACAATTCAGTACTCGTACATGACCATGGATTTCTTGTTGAAGTTTCCATGTAAGTAATTAGCTCAGCATTACTCAGTATTTATTAACAAGTGTCTTTCACGATATTCAATTCATCTGAGGAAAAGAAACAAACAAATGAAAGAAAAAAAGAGATAAAAGTAAAAACCCAAACACTGAATGAAAGAATAAAAATGAAAGAAGGAGAGTGTTATGATGATGAAGAAGAAGAAAACAACACAAGCTTCAGATAATAATGTGTACTCTCAGAAACTTGACGAAGTGACAAACAGAGCTATGCGTCACTTAGAGAACTATGCAAGATTTCAAGTGTGTACCATTGAAAATCGAAATAACTGATAACAAGAACTAGTCAAACTTGAAAGTACATCACCTAATGCCATTGCAACAGCATAGGGATCTTTTGTGGCTAATTCTGATAGAATCTCTAGCGAATGCCTCACTGCTACAGGGTCGGAGAACAGAACACTGCAAGAAGACAACCATTTATTTGCGAATTGGTGTCCAAAGATACAGATATTTAATGGCGTTGAACAATCAGAAGATGCTGGCTTGTCCAAAAAATATCAAATATAGAGCACTACGACGTACAATCTTAATAGAAATTATATCATTAGTAAAATCAAATTGTTAAAATAAGCATCACATGACACTTGCACTATATTCTGAAAGCCCAAGAAATCCAATAGCTTAGGATGGCTTTCGCCCTCCAAATGAACAACTGTTCAAGCTAATCCATTGGTTCTATCCAGTGCACTTTATCCTCAATCAACCGCTCCTGGCAAAGTTATCCATTCGTTCACAAACCAAAATTTACTCTTCAAGCTAAGCAAGCTTAACTATGGGTATACAGTTTCCAAAGTGATGAGGCTGTATAGTATAATCCAACTGAAGATATGCCGTGAATGATATTACAGCACAAACAAATTATCTTAATAAGTTAATATATCAAGTATCAAGGTCGATAATGAAGACGGAAAAAACTCATCAATGATCAATCTGATCCAGGACATTTATGACGACATCCCATCCAGAGACACCATATAAGAAGCATCCATAATACAAGACATAGACAAGATCAACAGAAGGTAGTAGCTCACCCCTGTACAGCACGGTGAAGAAAAGCAGGATTCCCTGGATCTAAAGGGAGTCGTCTCAAAGCACTTATCGCCGCATATTGCAGATTGCTCCGGATGATCGACTGATAAATCACCACCCACAGGAAGATGTTAGGGAAAACGAAGGCGTGTTTTGGTTTGTCATTCAAACAACGCGCAGAAAAGAAAACAAATTGAGAACAAGATGTATAATGTGATAATAGTACCTCCTTATCACCACCCTTATTTCCAAATATTCCTTTCTTTCGTTTCTGTGGTTCTCCAACCTGACAGTCAACTTATGCATTTTACTTGGGGAAAAAGATAATTTCTCTAGGCATTCATGGTATAAATAAGAAATATAACTGCATAATGATCTCATTATCATAACGCCAAAAAAAAAGAAAAAAAAAAAACTTAAACTTTTCATGATAAATGCAGAACAAAATCGATTATGCAACAATAATATTGAGAGTATCTATCATTATATAAAAAGAATAACATTTTACAAATTTAGAAACAATTTCCCGCCAAAATCTTAATTACATACTAAAATAGAATAATTAAAAAAGTTTTAACTAAATGCCCATTTGTTTGGAAACAATCCTCATTTATATGGACTCTTCCAATTAATTTTGATAGATAAAAAATACGAAATATTTTTCAAAATTTTTTGTCCATAATTATCTCAATACAACACCTGTTTAATTTTTGGAAAGAATCCCTTTTTATATGGATTCTTTCAAATATTTTTGGTATTAAAAAAAAAAAAAAAAAAAAACTGAGATGGGCTATTTGATTTCCAAAAAAAAAAATCAACAGCAATAATTTGGTAAGTATTAGTAAATATTTAATGAGAATAATTTATATGCATACGTAATTTTTTATTAAAGTTAACGTGAAATCAATAATTGATCTAAATCTATTAATTAAAATTTTCAAAATTTTTCAATCAATTATTTTATTTCTACCTAATTTATTTTTATTTTTGTTGATATGCTACCGTGAGATTTGAAAAAATATTGGCTAATAAAATTAAATATTTGTAATTTAATTCTTGAAAATTAGATAAATTTGAACGATAAGGTAACCGACAACAACTCTAGAAAATTACGAGACTATATATTAAATATATTCATATATCAAATATATATGGGAATTTTGTGTGTAATCCAAATTTGAGTTCCAAATTGGTAAGTCAAATAAATAATTATTCATAACTTACGAGTCAACATTAACTTTGATGACGTAAGTCAATTATTCATAGTTTAATAAATTACTCAACCATTTCAGTTTTTTGATTTGAATATTTTATATAAAAATAAAATCATCTAATTAGTGAAACAATATAAGATATTATAGTTATACTTATTATTCACATATGTTTTTAAATAGACGAGAAAAATTTACAACTTACCTATAAATTCAATTCGATTTAAAAAAAATTCGATTGTCTTTTTTATTCCAAACAATCAGATTGCCGAATTTTTTTTCTTAGAACTTGAATTGAAAATTTGAAATTCAAAATCCCTTCTCATTTTAGTTGCTATAAAAAAAAGTGTTTAATTCAGAATCTCTTCCTAATATAAATGATTTTGTTCAAATTGAATTTCAAAAATATCTAGTCACATGCTTCTATCCTTATCCTTAAATGAAGGATTTTGTGCCACTTTAAAATTAACAAACTTCTTGGAAATTAGAATCATAATGAATTTCTATTTTTTTTGTTTCAATCTGCACGAAATTCAAAATGGTTTAAGAATTTCAAATCAATTGAAATTCATCTCTTTAATTTTTTCCATAAGTTTCAAAATTCTACAATAATTAAGTCAAATTACAAATGCATTGTTTCAAAAATCAAGAGGATAATTTTGAAAATAGAAATTTTTTTATTTTTTTTTCAAAATTGTCTTAGTCTCCATTCAATATAAAATAAATCCCATTTTATTTGTAAAATTGATAAATCTACATAAAGCGTGGAATTTTATGCCTACAAAATTTCTTTTTACAGTAACCAAAAAATAATAAAAATTTTAAAATCTTTTGTACTCAAACTTAAAATAATAATAATAATAATTTGTACAGTAACTAAAAAATAATAATAATTTTGAAACGTCTGTACTCAAATTACTCAAAAGAATAATAATAATAATAATTTTGAAATTTTTTGTACTCAAATTACTCAAAAGAATAATAATAATAATAATTTTGAAAACTTTTGTACTCAAATTTTCAGGTACGGTAGTATCGTCATAATTTTCAGTATCATGACAATATTTATTTTATACTAGGTATTTTTTTTTCAAAAACTTTATAATGTATTTATTTAGGCTTATAATATTTTATCATGTCATATTCAGAAAACATCTTTCATACAAATGTAAACTTTAATGTTTTTATATATTTTTTCTTTACAAAATCTATATATATATAATTACTAGCCAATAGCATTTAATAAAACCTAATTAATTTTACCTATGTGGGAATTTAATACTTTTCCTCCAAAAACCGTTACTTTTTTATGTATTTAATCTTTCATTTAATTATTAAATAATCAATACTAATCACTTCAAAATTACAAAAATCATTTTAAGTTTTTTATTAGTGACAACTGACCATATAATGTGTTGATCGTACAATGTGATTAGATGTTATTATTGTGGTTATATTTAATTTTTTTTTAATTAAAAACGTATTTAAAATTCTTAAATAAATGATAAATAATTCAAAAAAAAGACATACCAAAATATACATTACATCCAATCAGATAAACGCAATTTAAAAAAAAAGTAAATATTCCAACTTCTTTATTTGTAAATTTGGCATGCAAAAAGTGAAAGAAAATTAATTAATCATTATATACATACAAATAACTCACAATACTTTATTTACATCTGTGCATTTTGCACAGGTCGAATACTAGTAGTTTAGAAAAGTTGTAGGTGACTTCACATCTTTTAATAATAATATAGAAAATTTTAGATAATTTTACATATGTTGATATAATATTTTAGGAGTTTTTAATTGTTTAAATATACAAATTTTATGTTCTCTTGAAAAAGCTAATTTTATATCGTTTATAATAAACTAAGATACCGTAAATTATATGACATGTTAACCACACATCGTTAATTTATAATTATTATTTAATATCGTTTACCCTCATCTTTAATTTATAATATTTTTTCTTGCTCTTTTAAGAGAAGATCAATAGTGGTTCTCCACTTCTTTCATTGGGTGACTCGAACTCGATACCTATTTATAATTATTTTTAATATTGTTTACCCGATGCACGGGATACGCACTAGTTAAGTACTTGTCACACAAATTGCAGCAATCACAGCAATGATTCATTTCATTTCAACCATTGAACATATGATAGTGTTCTTCAGTCTAGGTGACAATAGCAACAAGAAAGTAACATAATAGTTAGAGCATCTCTAGTTACTGATAAACTATGTTTATTTTATTAGCACATCTATATATATAATAAGAATTACCATTTAACAAAAATAGTAGCAAAAAAAAGGAGAGAATTTAATGCAACCTATAAATAGCAACTTTTATTACTTCTTTATTTTCATCTTTAAAAAATCATAAAACATTAAATATTGCATTAAAATTTGGCCTTTAATTCATTTAATTATTTAAAATTCCAGCTACGATCTATTAATTGTGCATTTTTCTTTTTTTTTTTTCCTCATAGAAACAAGGAAGAATATTAAAATCTCAGTCTCTATATTTATAAAGTCTCAATTCAAAAGGTTATAAAAAATTTAAGAATGCCGGTATTTATATTTATGTCTTTCAAAAAAAAATATTGAATCCTATTCTTCAAATATCATTTTCCACTAATCATCACAATTTATTATTTGGAACGTGTGATAATAAACTTGATAATGTTTATCAATTCTTTGTTTACCAATCTATTGTTTTTCTCTATACCCGGTTTCAAAAGGTAAAATAATCTTCAAATTCTCAGTCTCAATAATTGTGCATTTAAAAAAATATTTAACGATAGAATATTATTTGTTAATAGTACACAAATTTTAAAAATTCCATTATAAATTGTATGTTGATATCCAACTCATTTTATAAATGCAATCGACTTTGTTAAATCTCCACGAAAATATGGTAACACAAAATGAGACGATCAACTTTGTATGGAAATAAAATGAAATAAATAAATCAATATGAAGTGCACAGAAAATTAACATAATGAATAATTTGTATAGTACATGGATTTAGAAAATAATACTCACGTGGATTTTAAAATTCAAAATTATACTTATCATTATCTTCTGGAAATTGAATAATATATTGTAGTCAAGATTTTTTTAAATAATTTTAGGCATGTTTTATTTACAAAATAGTTCAGAAAAATTTTAAGTGACTTCACATCTTTAAATAATGATATATATAATTTTAGATACTTTACATATGTTATATAATATTTTAGGTGTTTTTAATATTTTAAACATACATTTTTATTTATTTTATACAAGATAATTTTATATTGTTTACAACTGATATACGATAAATTATGTCACATATTAACTCCACATCTTAATTACAATTATTAGTTAATATTGTTTAGCCTCATATTTAATTTATAATTATTAGTTAACATTGTTTACTGTCATCTTTAATTTATAAATATTATTTAATATTGTTTACATGTGAATCGCACGGGCTACACACTAGTTATCATCGTCAAAGATTATTTTTTACATAAGGAATCATTAATTTTGATGAGAATATATACCATATTGATATATTATTAAGGAGAAGGTAGTCTATAAATAACTTTCCAGTATATTACCGTCAAAATATTATTACTTTATTTGGAAATCCTATGTTTCCTATTGAAAATGAAAGTTTTGTGTAAAAGTATCAAACTTTCTTTAATTCCTTAATGACGAAAACACCATAAGTGAAACCGTAAAAGGAAGAGGGTGAAATTAAGCAATATTGGTCACTGGATAAACTATACTACTGTAGCCCTGGAAGGACACTATGAAACTCCAACCACAACAGGTTGCAAATTAGTCTATTCAATCATTGGCGTAATTGTTACTACATGCGGGAAACGAATCCACTATCAACTCTTAAGTGTTCTTATCTTACAGAAGTTTACAACTTCCATGAAAATTTAGACAAAAGACAAAATAAGCAATTGCCCTATTCCTTTTCCAAATACCTATTATAGATTGCAGCCATCCAGATTGTCAATAACTAAACTAATTATGCGGGTATGAATATTTACAAAAAGGGACTGGTATATTTAGATCTTAGACTACTAAAGCATATTTGGACGAATTGAGATAAGTTAATCTGCGGTGGGAGTTATAGAAAATTGATGGTTTTTGAAAGAAAAGATGAAGGATAAAACACATTAATAACTTCATGACTAAGGTCTGGAGCAAACCTTGTCCAGGATGCTGAACACAATTTCGTACAACTTGGATAGAATTTCCGAGCTGCTGGAAGGAGCATAAGTAAGAGCCTTTAAAGCTTGTAGTCTCCGTGCATGAACTTCAGAAAGAAATAAGGAAAAATAAATACCAAAATTAACCTTTAGGTAGAATTAGTAAATAGAAATTTAAGGTCTAAGAAACAAATTGTGAAATCTCATGACATTTTCATTTTTCACTATGGATATCACTAAAATTTGTAACGTTGGAAACTTTGCAACCAGCCGTTAAATCCATTGGAGAAATAAAGTAATTGTGTACTTCAATATAATCAACTTGCTAATCAAGAATATCAAAAGGCATGGAAATCAGAAAAAAGGTATTTCATAGTGTTGAGCCTTTGACATGGAAAGCCCTTGATATCTTTGAAAATTTCAGAACTCTGGACTCGATCCCTCGCCCCATCCAAGTCAGTTCTCAGTTGGGACACAACCAACAAATAGGCAATTAATGAATTTTACCAACAGGTTGTACTACTACCACTATAGTTCATCCTAGTCATTCACCAGAAAACTTATCACTATATCCACATACATCTTTCACCAGGAATGAGCAGATCATTCTTCAATCCACCAAACCAATCCCAGACTATCACCTCCAAAGCACCCTCATGCCAAGCTCCATACATGGGTTAGCCACTATATCATGCCCTTTTTTACTAGGCCTAATAAAACCTACAATAAATCCACCAGAGGTCCAGAGCACAAGGCTGCAACATCCTAAATTCCTGCTCTGGAGGTGAAAGGCGGTTTTAAACTCCGAACCATCTAGAAGTTAACTAAGATAATTTTCATCTACAGAAATCAAGTGCAATTTCATGGAAACATGAACACGAGGTAGTTCAACAAAATGCCAGGGCAGAAGTTAAATTAACAGTAAAAAAACAGTTGCATCACTCACACTCAACATCTTCATTTAAAGCCTCTGATGTTAATCTCTCTACTACTCGAGGAACAACATCAGCTCTTGTCACACCTCCAACTGCGTCTATGTCAGCCAAAGCATCCCAATTTGGAGTAGGTATCCCACCACCGGGGCTCACACCTTGAGAACCTGAATCGGATAGAATTCTTGCCAAATAGTAATAAACGTACCGCAGTACAGTTCTATCCTCACACTGTTGATCAAGCTGGAGTGTGCAAAACAAATGATAAACCAAAAATCATTATTTTTTTCTGAATATTATCAGTATATGCACATAAACATACTCTCAAAAATGCAGCACTAGAGAAAATAATAATGCCAGGGTTCCCCAAAATAAATTATATCCTCATAGTTTAGTCAGACACCCGAATGTTTAAAAGCCTGCTTTGAGCCAAATTTCAAAATGCCTACTACAGGGTATCTCAGCAATCAAAAAAAAAATGGAGCTAACTCCAAGTTATTGCTCTCGTCCAAATATTGGTCTCAGGCACTTCCTTCACCACTTCTTACACCAAAAAGGCAGATACAATTTACATTGTACAAGGAAATCATCTTTCAACTAGCCTATCCTGTTGCATTCCCTAAGACCAACATCAAGTAGTTCAAGATTAGTTTCTAATCCCGTACTATGGCTGATGGCCGTCATATTTTAGGCCACCCCAACTCGCACTTCATGTATTATCATTGCTAAAAAATTCTCAATAAAGCATGATGGAGATGTCAAAACATAGATAAGAGACATGAAAGCACTAAGGAACACACCAGTCCTGTTTTCATTGTCCCCATATTCAAATAACCAGATTAGATTGACAGGCAAAGGTGTCAAGTATCTGGAGGCTATGTAGTATTTTGGATAGAATGAACAAGATTGCAAACCTACTTTTTATCAAACATGCATATATAGTTCCTTCAGTTCATAGACAAACATGGTTATGTAATATATAGTTCCTTCAGTTAATGAACATACTTATAAATGAAACCAAAGCTTTCTCCCATTACCATATATATACAACCATCTGAGTTAGTTGTTACAATATAATGCAAAAGTCAGAGAAGGCTCTACAGAAACTCATACCATTAGAAGTGATGGGGCCAAAGATGGGTCAACTGAGTTGTACACTGCAAGCTTTGGAAACACATGGTGCACCAACTGCCTTTGTGAACTTTTCTACGGATAAGACATCAACAAAAGATAAATAAGATGCAAAGAAAGGCAAGCATTAATGAAAAGAAAATAACTAAAAACAGCTACATACTTGATCAGATGTGGCAGCCAGCTCGTGAATACTCCTTGCAAGTTGGGCATAAGAAACAGGCTGCAATTAACAAAACATTCAACAGGGTTATTACTGTGGCATCTAAAACATGATTTTGTAACGATTTGAACCACATTGGTATCTCAACTGAAAATATGATCATGTTCTTAATGCAACTAGTAATAGTCTAAAAACTCACTAGACGGAGCATTAACTACATAACAATAATAAAGAATATGCAATTCCCATTGAATTGAGAACCGATCCACATAGATCAAGTAAAACCCAGATGAATAGAAGGATTCTACATTTCAACTTATAAAGATCTCAACTTCAAACTCCATCTCACAGCATGATGCTCTTTAAAAGTTAAAAACTTGCTAAACCTCTCGAACCCATAACCACCTAGGTAACACGAAATCTCTCTGGAAGAACCATAAACCCCAAGTATACTGATTTTTTTTATTATTATTATTATTATTTATTTTTTTTATTTTTTTTGCAATTCGAAGTATACTGAATTAATGTCCGCTACACGAGAGTACCTTCTTCTTTTGCTTTTGGGTCATAATGTTTGCCCGAACAGGGTTGAAAGCGGCTTTGGCAGCTGAAATAGTGTCGCTCTGGATCTGCATTAGAGTCCCCCTCTTCGATTTCCGCTCCACCGTCATAGGAACCGGCGCCCCCATGCTCGTCGCCGAATCAACCGGCGGAGGTGCCGTCGTGGACGAAGCCGGAGGAGGCTTCGAAGATGATCCGTCCGAGGTTATCAGATCCATGAGGGTCGTGCCCGACGAATCCTACGAAAACAAAACGAATAATCACGCATAATTCTCAGCAGCAAATGAACGGATGTAATGAATCTAAATAAAGAAATGGAAATGGAGATTCTTAATCCAGCAGAAAGGTAATTGCGAAAAAGCAGAACAAGTAGAAAAGAAGAAATTAACGAAGAGAGATCTCAAACAACAACCGCCATGAGTGATGGCTAGATGAATTGAGAGAGTGGTGGATGGTGGAATAATCTCTCTCCCTGCCTTTTTGTTCTTGTTCCCTAAATTAATAAGCTAAAGCATTTCCCCGAACTAAAAATAACACTCCCTAAATTACGAAAATACCTTTTACTATATTTCTTTTTTTTCTCTCTAAACTCTCTAAAACCGCAACTTCAACGACCCGTACGAACGTCAAAAAAATCCCGAAAAAATATCGAAAAAATCATATGGTCTCGGCAAAGCGTTCTTCTCTAGCAAGGTATTTTTTTTATAATTTAAATAATTTTTAAATTTTTTTTTTAAATCTGGACCCACGTCCGGCCGGTCGGACCGGACGCGGGGCGGGCCGTGCAGCATCCTTTTCCGTACGGCCCGCGGGCGACCGGTCTCCTTTACCGGTCGCCCTTTGAAACGTGCAGCCGGACCGGGCCGCACGGCCGGCTATATGTCCGACTTATGGGGCCGGTCGTACGGTGACAAAACCGGCCCCTCCGGCCGGTGACGAACCGGCCGGATGTTTTTTTTTAATTATATTATAATTAAATAATAAAAATAATTATTCTAAATATTAATAAATATTATAATATAAAAATAATTAAAAAACGTAAAAAAAAAAATATATAATAAAAATATTTATGAAATAAAAGAAAAAAAATATTACATTAATAAAGAAAAAAATATTATAATATATTTATTTGAATATTTAAAAACTAAAAATATTAGCATAATAATAAATATAAAAATAATTATAATATTGTTGATACCCAATTTGGCTCCTATTAATTAAATGATAAACGAAATAATAAAATACGGCTCGATAACCGAGTAGCCGATAATACGAGATAAATATATATACAAACAGGTACACAAGACTGATCATCTAAAAGTCGACTGGGCCCTCAAATGTCAAATCCGTCCATTACCGAGAAGACCAACGTTAATCGGAACCGTCAAAAGTCATAAGCGGGTCCTGTTGTTATGCGATTTCTAACAACGATGTAATACGTGATTAAGATGAGAATTATGAATGATTTGGACGTAAAGCATGTAGAGTAACTTCAACGATGGCCCCGGTCCGAGGTGAACCGAGGTGAAGAGCCGTGATGGGCTTTTACGTGTTGCTTAATAAAGTTTTTTCAGTTCGGAGAGAGAGAGATCCCCGTACAAATGTCATGGGTCCACTATTTATAGTAATTTTCGGTAGATACATTGGGATTTGTGCACTACTTTTTGAATAAAGTAACTTTTTGTGGGCGGTTTGGAGTAGTAGGTCCCACATAAATGATGACGGATTTTGTGGAGCAGGATGGTTGTGCGTAGGCACCTTGTCACCTGCTTAAGGAGGTGACGATCTCGGTTTATGTTGACCTCGGTAGGTGCTGACCGACCTCGGTCTCTGGTAATTCGGTTTGGTTCATCGCCTGGACCGGGGTGGTGTTAAAATCACGTCGGTTCAGTGGTCATTTCCCTCTTAATGTGATGTTTGGAATCTCTTAATGTAGTTTTACCGATTCGGATGATAACAGAGAGGCCCCCAACATCGATGGGCATACGGAGTGATGGTCGTCGATGTTGCTATGCTAGACATTTAGAGACCCTGGATCGGTAAGAAGTCGGCGGCAGGATATGGTCTATTGTCTTCGTAGGGTCATCTTCGGTATCCTGACCGATGTAACCGAAGTGAGCCATCTGTCCGAAGTGTAGACTGTATTCCGAGGTGAAGACACTTGGTGAATTTCGAACAATTTTCAGGCAGTCGTGACAGAAGAGAGATGAACAGTCGTAACGGTCAACGATTTAATGTTTAGACTGAACGGTCGCGCCGTAATGGTCTTAAATGAGGTAACGGTCGACTTTAATAGGTCGCCACGTGTAACGGTAGGTGTCTTATCAGGCGAAGAGGTGGCGTCGGTTAGAATTAGGGGTCGCGTCGGTTCGACGCGCCCCCAATTAAGATACTCAACGGTCATAAAATCGACGATTATAAATAGGGTTTAGCAATATCTGATCGGGTTTTCTTCACCTTTGCTTTCATTTTTGAGCTTTTGTATTATATACTGGTTGTTGCATTCTTCTGAAATTCTGAGGATTATTTCCTGCTTGCTGTGTGCGTGCGACATTTTCGGTAAGCTTTTTTCTTCAATTACTTCTTTTATTCCTTTTGTGTTTTGTTCGATTGTGCGATGGCGCCGAAAGGGAAGGGAAAGGCGGTGGCAAGTTCGTCGAGTACTGAGTCGGTTCCGTTGGATGTTTACCACGATTCGGAACTGGTTGAGTTGGCCTTCGAATACCACCGATGGGACCCGTCGTTGGTAAGACATCTGAATATTAAGTTAAATGATGAGGACGGCGATTTGGTAGTGGAACACGACGCAGCCGACCTCGTGGTGCCTCATTGGAGAAGACCGGTGAGGAAGTGGCCCGATCCGGCGATTGATTTTATCGGCGAACCAAGTATACTTACCGACGCCGATGTCGTGATGTTGAGAGAACAGGTTCGGATCCCTCCCTCGGTGAAAATCTTTGCTCCTTATCCCGGGGAGAGAATAACAAGTCCACCTCCGGGTTGTGTGGGCGTCTTTGCGGAGAGTTTGAGGTCGGGATTAAGGTTCCCGTTGCCAAACTTGATCACGGAGTACCTCCGAAGTTGGGGGTTACCGTTGTGCCAGATTACACCGAATAGTTGGAAAAAGATAATCGGGTTAATGGTGTTGCTGCACGAGAGAGGTGAAGGACTTCCTTCGTGCGATGAGATGAGGAGCATCTTCGCGTTTAAACAAAGTCCGAAGAGGAGGGTGGCCGAGTCTTCTTGTTGCTTCTTTGCCGGGGCGAAACCGCAACACGGCGTTAAAGTCGGAGAAATAGTGACTGAGATTCCGGAGAGTCTCCATGGCTTCCAGGAAGAGTGGTTATGGATCGGTGGAGAGTGGCAGTCAGTGGACTTCTTTCATGAGCACCGAATCGATGGGATGACAATCCCCATGTTAATTCATTCCGGAGCCAGTGAGTTTGTTTTATTTGATTTTCAATTCGGATATACTTTTCTGATTTTGGTATTGTTCTGTGCACTAACAGGTCGGAACTTTTACTCTGTGTAGAAAAAGAGACGAAGCAAAAAGAACCGAAGTTAAGTCCGGAATTCGGTGGGAAGTTGATAACTTTGGCCGGTTTGGATAAAGCAGACAGAGATTATCGCAAGCTCTTAGTAGACTCAAAACTTGAAGCAGCTGGTTTGTCTCTGGGAGTTACTACATCGAAATTTGACCCCGGTAAGAGAATTTTAACCAGTAACGATTTTGTCGAATTTTTCATGTGCGATGAATAGCTGTTTTGTAACTTTATTTGTCCTTTGTCGATATGCAGTGTATTATCCTCTCCTCGGTTTTCTGGGCTACAACTCTGTCAAGGAAGCCAAGGAGTTTAGGCGTAAATTTCCGAACAGAGACCTTCAATCCAAAGTTGGTAAGAGCCGGGATTTAAGATTGAACGACGCCATGAGGAGGGATCTTGTCCGTGCGTTGGTGAAGAAGACAGGTGGTCAAAAGAATGCTGGGAAGAAATCGACCGAGGCGGGGTCGAGTGCGACCTCGGCCGCCATGCCTGAAAGTCCGAAGTCCGTGTCAGACGTGGCAACTACCGAAGTGTTGTCAGTAGTGGAGGCTGCGGCGATCAACCAAGCAGATCCCGAACCAGTCATTACCGGGACCGAAATGATTACGGCCGAGGTTGCTCCTACCGAGGTGCCACCATCTTCTCCGAAGTCGCTTGAGTTGGAGCAACCGGAGAAGAGGAAGAAGAGGAAATTGGTGAAGATGGCGGACGTCGGAGCTTCGTCCGGAGTAGAGAAGAGGTCTAAGAAAAAGCACGACTCCGGTCGTAAGGCGACTGAGAAAGGTACGGACGATTCTCCTTTGTTCGAGAAGTCTTTTTTGTCTATAGACGAAGAGCGGGCTGCCAACGTTAAAGTGCCCGAGGGTGTTGTGGAAGAGTGGTTCACCACTTTCCAGTCTGTGAAGACGCCACACATGTCGTCACGGATCGAGATGCCGGAGAATGCCAGAAATGCTGCCCGAGTTCCGCTGATGGTTTGGGACCCCAAATCCGAGGTGGGGGTCTCTTCTCTGTCCAGCGTCGATAAGCTTAGCTATGCCAAGGCATGTGTGGGCAGGGCCTTGGTCAGTTTGGTGGCTGCCGAGGACAATCATCGCCGGGTCGCGTCGCAATTGGAGGGAAAAAAGGATATCATAGCTGCACGTGACGTGGTGATCGTCCAATTGAAGGAAGAATCTGCCAAGATGGAGGCCGACTTGAAGGGCCAAATTTCTGAGAAGGTTGCCGAATTGGAGAGGGCAAAGGCTGAGACGTCGGCATTGTCTGCGGAGAAGAAGATTTCTGAGGCCGAGGTGGCCGATCTCAGAGCACGCCTTGTCGTGGTGGAGCAGCATTTCAAGATTTCTGAGGCTAAGCTGGCGGAAACCGAGAAGGCCTTGTCGGAGGAAAAGGCTAATCACGATGCAGCTCGCAAAGAATGTGCTGAGATTCGAGAACTGGTAGGTCGGCAAAAAGACGCTCATCAGGCCGAGATGGCCAAACTTGAAAGGGAGAAGTCGTCTTACGGTGAGTTCATGTATGAGAACGGTTTTCAAGCCGGGAAAGATTCGTTCGTTATCGAACCGAAGTCCGGTGGCGATGCCGAGAAGGAAGCTGCTGAGTCCGATGAAGATGATGAAGTCGGCGGTCCTGACCTTGAGATTGAAATGAACACTTGTTTGAACTTGAGGTGG